AATAGGCATCTAGCGGGGGTAATCTAGACCCAGCACTTTTTCCTGCCTATGCAGGGGGTCGGACTCAATGATCTATTGAGGTCCCTTCCGACCCTAGCGTCCATGAATCTATGCATTGCTGGGGCATTGCGGGGTGAGCAGCAGTGAGATCCCTATGTGGCTCCTCTGTCATGCCTGTGGGGCTGCAGAGGCCTCACGGGAGGGAAGCAGGGTGGGAGCTCAAGCCCACAGCCTGCCCAATGCTAGAACTGAGGGCGCAGGTCCCTCCCACCCCCTGAGAATAAAAGACATGGAGTGCCCAGCCAGCTGCATGTGGACCGTGAGCAGTGCTATTGGAACGACCAGGCTCGGCGCCTCCATGTGTGGCTTCCTTTAAGGGCTGATAGCTCCACTCTGGTTCCACATGCCGCCGGGCAGCCACTCCATGTCTTCCCTCAACACCTCCCTGCTCCCTGAGCCCCCAGCCAGCTCCCCGCAGGAGTGGTGGGCAGTGGCATGTGGAACCAGAGCTGCACTATCGGCCCTTAAGGGAAGCTGCACGTGGAGATGCTGAGCCCGGTTGGGCCAATAGCGTTGCTCACAGTCTACGTGCTGCCGGGCAGGCACTCCATGTCTTTCACTAACACCTCCTCACTCGTTCAGCCCCCAGCCAGTTCCCCCCCAGCCCCCTGCAAGCTCCACTTACCTAACCTTACCAAGGCTTACCTAACCTCGCAAGGCTTACCTCAGGCTCCAGAAGGAAAGTGAGCCTGAGGTAAGCCTTGGGACTAAAAGCCTCAGGCCCCGCCCTTCCCCTCTCCTTCTGGGCAGGGTTAGGGGTTTCCCACCTCTTTTGCAATCAACTCGTGCAAGCTGGAGCTCTACCACCTGCAGAGCTCTTTGCAAAAGGAGGAAATCTGTGGTTTTCTACATTTTTCTGTGGGAAATGGAAAACCTGGATCCCTGCTGATAAATATCTAATATCTGTATTAACAAACTATTATTAAATTGTAACTTTAAAACTGATAGAACATAAGTTCACCCCCATTTCTATCAGCAAATCTAATTTCCCATATTCAGACTTGTGCCTTCAATGTTAGGAAAACCTATATATCTTACTCTGAACTAATCACTGTATAAAATATAAAAATATCACCCATTAGCCAAATTTCACTGACATAAGTAAAGAAGGCAGGGGAGGGGTGCCCCTTGTAGACTGAATGCATCCAGAGATTCATAAGCTCAGCCCTGCCTTCTGCCTGACTTCAGACTAACATGGCTGCTCAGAGAGAGGCAGTTTGATATACTTTGATATCAGTACCATATAAACCACTTAAGATGCTATTGGGTAATCCACACAGCCTTTTACATTGTTCATATGGCATAAGCCAGGGGTGCCCAACCTTTGGCCTGTGGGCTAGACCTGGCCTGCAGAGTCATGTCATCTGATCCATGGGGCTTCAGACAGAGGCTGGAAATTTGGCACCAGGGGAGCAGTGACATATCTGGACCATGGACTGGCCCAGGGGACCCGGTCCAGGTGCTGACTGCAAGAGATCTGGACTGGCTGCAGACCACTCACCTAGCCCACAGGACCAAAACGTTGAGCACCACTAGCATAAGTCATTTAACACACATTGTTAATGTGGCAGAACACCCTTGGGTGCCTGCTGCTTTAAGGGCTTGAGCAGGCTGCAGAGCAGCTGGCAGGTGACTGCAGAGCCAATCAGGGGGTCACATGGCAGCCAGGAGGTGGCCTGATTGGAGGAGGGCTAGGCAGTCTCAGTATAAGACCAGACTCAAGGAGCAGTGCTGCTAGTTGCAGCTGAGAAGCCAGTGGGGTAACATTGTCCAGCTGAAGGAGTCTGCTTCTAGAACATCCTGGAGGTCAGGGTAGGAACTATGGGGATGGAGGAGGTTCCTGGTCCTGGGTCATGACCTAAAACTACACCCTGCTGGGGTTGGATGGGGTGATGGGGCTGACTGTGGCAGGGCAGTCTCCAAGAAATGCCACACCTGTGCCTCTCCAGTGAAAGGGAGTATGCGGTACTGGAAAGCCTCAGTCCCCACTGCCTTTTGGGTGACCCTGTGGAGGGGAAAGGCTAGGGGAGCATACCCTGACAGAAAAGCACCAGGCTTGGGCAACAGCACAGGGGCCAGGAGGGCCCAAGGCCCAACACCTGGATGTGAGTGAGGCCTAGTGGGAGGCCAGGAGTGAGTTCTAGGTATGTTGACAGACACCTGAGGCCTGAGTGGGCCGTAGGCTGAGTTAGGAGTCCAGGGAGGTCGACAGACACCTGAGGCCCAAGGGGCATAAGGCCCAGAAGCCCCAGTGAGGGGGCATAGTATGAGGGGCAAGGAGCCTTATGAGAGGCAAGGAGCCCAGAGAGGGAGCATGTGGCCCAGGCATGTGTAAGGACACCTGAGGCCAGGTTTGGGCCAGGGGACTTGGAAGTGGTTTTGGATGCCATCTGCGAGGCATGGGACACAGTAAAGGGAAGGTCGGAGCTGTGTATTACGCCCTTGGCATCAGGGCATTAAATGGGCGGGCAGCCTTCCACGTAGAAACAGCTCTTTTTTAAGTTGCAACAAAGGTGTGACAAATGAGCCAGGTGGGCAGGCTGAGATTGTGAGGCCCCAGGATAGCCCCCTGTCATAGTTAATTTCTGTGTTCAAGGCATGGCTTTAACTGATTTAAGAGTATTGGAACAGTGTGACTCAGCTGCTTGTACTTAATTTGGATTTCTTATCTTGTTACTTCTGAAGTATGCTTAGCATAGCTGTTTACATCACATTCAGGCTTCCTACTTTGTTCTTTAGAGTCGTAAGTGTCATGCATACAGAAAGATGGTGTTCTTAGAGAATAAATTGATTTTAATCCATGTAATAATGTCATTACTTCCCATGGCCATATCAGCTTCTGAATTTAATGTTTGAGTTCCACAAGCTAAAGAGGTTGTTAGCTGTGTTAGTCTGAAGCATCTGACAAAGTAGGTTGCTGTCTCTGAATGCTTGTTGCTCTGAACCAGTTAGTCTTAGGTGCCTCCCTGCTTTGCCTTCTGCCAAGCTAAAAAGATACTGTTGATTTGTCATCATCTGTAGCATGGGAAAAGATCAACATCCCTGTACAATAAGTAGTCACACTTTCTTTTTAAGTTGTCTGTAATCTTCCATGAACAAGAATTGTCATCAGCTATCTATCTGTACAGTGCCCACCACAGCTAGATCTTGGCTGGAGCTTCTGAGAGCCACTGCAGTGTAAATATTAATAACATTAAACAGAACTTGACTTCAGTTTATTTAAAAATGTATTTTAATTTTTAAAATCCCATCTCTTGTCCCAGTCCCAGTTTGTTCTTTTTCTCTGCCCGGTGGTAAGGAGGGGGATTCTCTTCTACTTTGGAATATCTGTATTCTTTAGTAATACCCTTACTGTCTCCCTGTTTGCACATTGTCCCAGCCAGTTTGAGAACAATACTGGTGCCTTAGTTGTTACTAGTCTTAGCAAAAGTAGAAGGGAAAAGACCAAGAGCCCTGAATGTAGGCATTCAGCTCAGAGAAGAGCATGGTACAATAATCAGTATGGATGGATGAATAGATTTTGACTGCATGCAGGAAACTTGAGTAAGTAAGAACTTGCAGTTGTTTCTTTTTAAAACTTCTGCCTAAAATAAAAACTACTGATAATCTCCTTTTAAGAAAAAAAGTTCTTAGAAGGTGAGACCAGTATAATGAACAATTGAAGTATACGTATAAGAAGCCAACTTCTCTATTTTTTGTGGGGAAAACTGCCAGAAAACTTCTGCTGACTTAAGACTGCAGGCCTTGCCTTGCAATCTATTTCTTTACTTACTAGAAAATGTTAGAAAAGTAATTTTTGCAAGAATTATTGATGGGTCTTTTGTCTCATGCAGTCTTTTGCCATCTCTGTACAGACTTCAGAATAATGGATGTAATCCAAATAATTTGATCAACTCTGGTGTTAGAAGACCTAAAGCCAGAATAGATTTTCTCCACAATCACCAGCCAGAACTGGTAAGCATGAAGAATAATGGATCTGTTTAATAAATTATGTATATTTAGTGAAGTCAGAAATAAGTTAATTTTGACCCTGGACATCACTAGACACTTAATCTTTCCCAGTACAGACAATTATTTAAAAAAGAAAAACAAAACACATCTTATTGCAGGAGTTCTGTGATATAGCCCTGTCTGCTTGTAGCTCAGACGTACCCGTCCTTTCTCCTTTATCACTGTACCAGCATGCACATACTATGCATTCCTTGAGCTGTCTATGAATGGGTTGCATGAATTGCTGCTATAGCTTCACTTCTTTTTCCTGTACATTCAAGACTTTCTTTCCAGATTAGAGCCCTTTTTCATATTTGAAACAGTTTTTCCTGGAACTGAATTTGGGAGTGTGAGATAAGATTCCTCCGTATCCTTCCGTAAATTGTTAAATGGATTCAAATCTGTAGCATGCCTGGATATTCTCATGATCAGACTTACTGTCTGATGTAGCAGGAAAGGCTGCTACCATATTTATCCAAATCCAAGACGACTTGAAGTTTCAGACAACCACCCATAATTAGATTCTGGACATGGAAAATGTGTAAGTTCATTATAATTTTCCATGTAAAGGATCTAATTTTGGAGGGTTGTCTTTTAAATTCCCACCCCCTGTTGCTGCAGTGAGGGTACAGACAGCAGAGAAGTAAAGGTGCTTAACTTCTACCCCTTGCTGCCTGTCCCTCCCCCCGGGCCAGGGCACCCCACTCCTGCTCCTGTGCTCCTTCCCCTGCACTTTGCACCCTGGTGCTGGCCTTCCCCCCAACCTGCATCCTCTGTGCCTGCACCCCCTGTGCTGGTTGTCTTCTGGGCTGCTTTGCCCTGCTGCTGCCCACTCCCAGTGCTGCTCCACTCCCCCAGTTGTAGCTCCAGCTCTGACGGGTCAGGGAGCACAGAGCATAACGTGCTGTTTCCAGTCACAGCCTGGCTATGTAGCAACTATTGTGACAGTGGCAGCTCCAGCCCCAGGGGCAGGGAGCAAAGGCCAGTGGAGTGGGGAGCCGCTCTAATTAAAGAGCCCAGAGCATCTCCTGTATCAGCATCCCCACGCTTCAAAATGGGTAGGGGCACTTTATCTAAAGCTCATAGAAGAAACTTTAGTTAAAGCACAGCGCCCCCCCCCCCCCCCCCAATTTTTGGAATGTGAGGAGCCTGATGCACAAGATGCAGAGGCTGGCTGAAGCATGCTAATTAACATGCTCCAGCAGACTCAATGAATCGAGTCTGCTTGGAGCAGCCTTCTAGCTCGTGTACAGGCATCCTAAATGTCTTGCTGCATCTGAGCCTTAATTCTGGAATTCTCATAAAAATGATTCTAGATTAAAGTGTATGTTACATTAAACCTGTAATCTAGGCTATTGAAATTCTCTCAGTCAAAATATTAGATTAAAGCTGGCAAGTCAGTCAGCAACACGGAAGTCCTTGACTTCAGGAAAGCCGACTTTGGCAAGCTCAGGAGGCTTGTCAGTGAGGCCCTAAGGGACCATGACCACGGGGAGAGGGGAGTTCAAGAAGAGTGGTTGCTCCTCAAGGGAACGACCCTCAATGCACAAACTAAGTCTATCCCATCTCAGAGGAAAGGCAGCAAGAGGGCACAGCAGCCCCCCTGGCTCTCCAAGGACCTAGCAGACCTCCTGAGGAGTCGCCTCCAAGGAGGATTTTTCTGCACTGGTCCGGTCCTGTAGGGAGCAGATCAGGAAAGCCAAGGCTGCAACTGAACTCCAGCTAGCTTTGAGCATCAAGGACAATAAAAAGTCCTTTTTCAGATATGTGGGGAGCCGGAGGAAAAGCAGGGGCAACGTTGGACCCGTATATAATTTCCCCTCCCACCATGTTTTCCTAACTTTTTTATTAAGGAAAAATTATTAGGAAAAAGCCAACCTATTAAATAGGTACTTTGTGTCAGTCTTTCATCAGTCCCATGGGACTCCCATGCCCGCTACGGGACAGGGAAGTCCGGGTGAGAGTGATCCCTTGCCCTCCATTGATGCTGACTTCGTGAAGGAACATCTTGAGAAGCTGGATACCTTCAAGTCAGCCAGCCCTGACAATCTTCACCCCAGGGTACTCAAGGAGCTGGCGAGCATCATAGCCCAGCCTCCAGCATGGATCTTTGAAAACTCTTGGCACTCTGGTGTAGTGCCCGAAGACTGGAAGAAGGCCAATGTGGTGCCTATCTTCAAGAAAGGGAGGAAAGTGGATCCGACTAACTATAGGCCCATCAGCCTGACTTCTATCCCGGGGAAGATCTTAGAAAAGTTTATTAAAGAGGCCATCCTTAATGGACTGGCCGACGCCAACATCTTAAGGGATAGCCAGCACAGGTTTGTTGCGGGTAGGTCTTGCTTGACCAATCTCATTTCCTTCTACGACCAGGTGACCTATCACCTGGACAAGGGAGAAGAGATTGATGTCATATATCTTGACTTCAAAAAAGCCTTCGATCTGGTGTCCCATGATCGCCTCTTGGAGAAACTGGCCAATTGTCGCCTTGGGTCCTCCACAATCCACTGGCTGGAAAATTGGCTCCGGCGTCGGACCCAGAGGGTAGTAATCGATGGAAGTCACTCATCGTGGTGTCCTGTGACCAGTGGGGTCCCCCAAGGCTCTGTCCTTGGACCCATACTGTTCAACATCTTCATTAATGATGTGGACACTGGAGTCAGAAGCGATCAGAACTGGCCAAGTTCGCCGATGACACCAAACTTTGGGGCAAAGCATCCACACCAGAAGACAGGCAGGTTATCCAGGCTGACCTGGACAGGCTCAGCAAGTGGGCGGACGAGAATCTGATGGTGTTCAACGCCGATAAATGCAAGGTTCTCCACCTTGGGAAAAAAAACCCGCAGCATCCTTATAGGCTCGGCAGTGCTATGTTGGCTAGCACTATGGAAGAAAGAGACTTGGGGGTCATCATTGACCACAAGATGAACATGAGCCTGCAGTGCGATGCTGCGGCTAGTAAAGCGACCAAAACGCTGGCTTGCATCCATAGATGCTTCTCAAGCAAATCCCAGGACGTCATTCTCCCCTTGTACTCAGCCTTAGTGAGGCCGCAGCTGAAGTACTGTGTCCAGTTTTGGGCTCCACAATTCAAAAAGGATGTGGAGAAGCTTGAGAGAGTCCAGAGAAGAGCCACGCATATGATCAGAGGTCAGGGAAGCAGACCCTACGATGACAGGCTGAGAGCCCTGGGGCTCTTTAGCCTGGAAAAGCGCAGGCTCAGGGGTGATCTGATGGCCACCTATAAGTTTATCAGGGGTGACCACCAGCATCTGGGGGAACGTTTGTTCACCAGAGCGCCCCAAGGGATGACGACTAGGTCAAATGGTCATAAACTACTACAAGACCGTTTCAGGCTGGACATAAGGAAGAATTTCTTTACTGTCCAAGCCCCCAAGGTCTGGAACAGCCTGCCACCGGAGGTGGTTCAGGCGCCTTCATTGAACACCTTCAAGATGAAACTGGATGCTTATCTTGCTGGGATCCTATGACCCCAGCTGACTTCCTGCCCTTTGGGCAGGGGGCTGGACTCGATGATCTTCCGAGGTCCCTTCCAGCCCTAATGTCTATGAAATCTATGAAGATAGGTTTGAAACTCCAAAGCCCTAAACCCCATTTGCCTTTCTCTGTTAACAAAGATGCATAGAGAAGAGCACATCACAACCTTTTTTTCTTTTTTTTCTTTTAAGGGAGTTGATACACTGGCACATGATGCCACCTCGGATGAAGATAGCTCTTTATCCCAGCAGTCAACCAAATTGAAACCAACCACTGGAACCAGGAGAAGAAAAGGAAGTAGGTTTGCAGAGCTAATAATATTGCATCGTTAGTGTACCTCTGCCCAGTCCAGTGATGAAGCTGCAATTTAAAAACTGGTCTTTGAATTTGTGCAAACCTGTTCAAATTCTGTATCTCTGAGTAGACTGACATAGCACCTAGGCTGTTGTACCAGGATTTAGCAGCACTGAAATTTATTACTTATCACATTGAAGATGTAGACTATGTAATAACGATATACTGCAAAAATTATGCTGTAAAAAACTATTAAAGATAGATCAAAGTTTCCTGTCCAGAGTAGTTTAAAGCCTGACCCTGTAAGAGGCTGAGCACTCCTGGAAAAGTGATAAGCTTCTCTTGCTTTCAGCTACAGTATAATATTGAGAAGCCCAATATCATGCAAAATCAGGTCCTGTTTTGGTACGGTAAAGCAGTGGTTGACATAAACAAACAGGGAAGTGGTATAGAAGTGGGGGACATGTTTAGCCACAAAAAATCATGGGGAAACATTTGCTATTTGCATATGCCACATTAGCTCTTCTGTTTGTCCAGAATAAAGCCAGAAGCAGAGGTTAGCAATACAATGCTGCCTGGTAGAAGTAAGTTCTAAGGATGGATTTGAAAGTTGAGGGGGAAGACTGGCTCTTAAACCAGATGTGGAAGGATGTTCTAAGCATTGAGGTGGGAAGCACAACTGCTTATGGGAAAAGGTTTGGAGAGCAAGAAAGTGAGTTGTATTTTCAGTGCAAGATATGGGGTAGTAGGAAGGGAGAGTTAGAGAGAAACTACAGTGGGGGATATAGGCAGAGCTGTACTTCCTGCTTCTGAAAATGACAAGGAAGTGTTTGAGCTACTTGCATATTGGAGGCCAGCTGAGGAGCAAATGGGTATTTGGCGTGAAGCAAGCGCAGCACATTTTAAGTTTGCAGTGTTACTCTCAGTGTCATTGCTGAGTAGCTTTCAATGGGTGCAGACAAATAACTTGTACTTTCAAATGTCTGTTGACAGAACTAAACCTGCGACAGGAGCTAGAGGATCTGGAGGAGACCATGCAGGTTGAATCTGTTGTCAGCCTTGGTGCAAAGTGCAAAGAGGGGACATCTCCACAGGATCTTGCACATGGTAAATTGGTCACACAAGGTGATGCTTATGCTGTGAAAAAGGACAGGGCTCTATTCCAAAAGAGTGAGTTCAAAGAAGAAAACTGTAAGAGCTCCAAACAAGATCCTTTTTGTCATGAGACGCTTCTGAAGAATTCTGATCAAGAAAACATTTATTTGTTGGATGCCACAAAAGAAGGAAATGTGGGTCGATTTCTTAATGTAAGTAAAAAGTGTGCATGTTCAATGAGAGATTTTAACTTTAAAAAGTGACTATTTACATAAACAAATCATTCCTTTTGCAAAATGTTACTCTCCCCTGCTCCTGTGGTGAGTTGCATATGAATTTATTTTAGGGTTGGGATAGGAGTTGATCTAAGAATAAAATATCCCCAAGTGGTGAGGGTGTTTCCTGATTCTTTGTTCAGACAGCAGACTGAATGCCCGATAAGGTCAGAGGCCTTCTTACTTCCCGGCTGATGTTCCAAAGCCACTGTTAATGCTGGTTTGTACCAGTTCAAGGATATGTTATGTAATGCTGTGGGAAACTTCCATCTGTACTCCTGACCAACACAACTGTGAAGAGACTCTTTAAAGAATTCTTCTCAGGTGCCATGCATAGCCTGACACACATTGAGAATAGGATCTCACCCACAGAATCCTTTCCCCCCATTAGACACCTAATTTATTCATGCATCTATTCAACAGTACTACTCTCTTAGCTGACAGTGTAACATAATGGCTTTTGTTTGTTCTTGAAAGTAGTGTCACTTCCTGTCTCAAATGGAGAAAATATCATCATAAACTATCATAGGACAGCTTGAGAAAAACACCCTTGTTTTTAATATACAAAAGCATTTATGGTACCTTAGAAATGATGAAGATAGTTCTTCCCATGATGTGGCCTTATTATAAGAAAAAAATTAGTGCATGCTAATCTGGATGGTAGGAATTTTCTGTCTTCGTAAGCTTATTATAAATGTCTGAAACTAAATTATATAATTGGATGTTAACCCTTTGGCTGTACAATGCTAATGTTTAATTGTAAATTAAGTCAAATATTTTGTTTTACAGCATAGCTGCTGCCCAAATCTCTTTGTGCAAAGTGTCTTTGTAGAGACTCACAACAAGAATTTCCCCTGGGTGGCATTCTTCACAAACAGGTTGGAACTTTTTTTTTTAATGTTATTTATTCAAATCAACAAGAAAATAACAGGTCCCTCCAGCTATTAGAGAAATGCGTTCCAAGTAGACAAGCATTTAGAATGAGAAACCACAACACTGCGTTCTTGTTGGTCACCTCTATGTAGACCAGTGGTTCAATCTTTTTAGACTCGGGGCACCCCTCAGAAAATGCCGTTTCTTAGCTTTCATTCATTTTTGGCTGTAGAAAAGATTAGAGCCATCCTTCTGTTACCAAGAACTTGGTGGAGACCACAATAGGTCAGAATGTATTTGGCACTATGGATTCCTATTTGAAATCTCTGGGTTTATGTTGTTAACTATATGTAAACAAATGCACACTTACCAGTATGTGGCACCCTTAAACATCTCACAGCATCTCAAGGTGCTGTGGCACCCTGGTTGAGAATTGCTGATAAAGGCTAAAGACTGAATTGGAAATCAAACTAAGGTACATGGTTACCAGCCTAGAGGTGTATTGTCATTTTCTATTGACATACAGCAATGACAAGTGTGCCAATAATTCCTCCAGTGTTGTACCTCTTCAGTGGAAGTATAGCATTTATCTCCATGGCTGCAGAAGCATGAATTCACTGGACAAAAAAACTGTCCCTTTTGTAACCTATAATTGGGTCAGAAATAAGGTATTAAGAGCAAGCTGTTACTCTATTCCTGTCCCAGGCCTTGTGCCTCATTACAAAGAGCTAATGTAGTTCCATTGAAATCTGGCCTCCAGGCATTTATGAAGGCCATGAAATTATCTTGATTTCTACCTTGTGGTATTTTAGGGTCTGGGTAAACAAAGACTTGACACACTGTAGCTAGTCAAAAGGACATCACAGCCTGTACTGTCATTTAGGTACTTGCAGGGATTCTTTGGGTGGATAAGTGAGTTCATCTAGACATTAGAATGAGTGTCATCTAGACATTGAAGTGAGTTGCGTTTAGACTCGGTGACCCAATCACAGTTCCTGATTTAAGCTTCTGTCTCAGCATTTCTAGTGTAATGTTCATTAAGGATGCATAGGCAGCTTTTAGGGAGAGTACCATGTACACCAGGCATTCTTTGCATCCTTCCCACAGACTCCCTCTTATCATTCTCCCTGCCCCTGTATTTCAGGCATAGCTTCATGAGTAGATAGTGGTAAAGTGAAAGCACAGTCCCATAAAAGGTTCAGTCCGTTTAAATATATTGACATAGTATGTTTGCCTCCTAGGCACGTGAAAAGTGGAACTGAACTCACGTGGGATTATGGTTATGAAGCTGGAAGCATGCCAGAGACTGAGATCCCCTGTCAGTGTGGCGTTCAGAAGTGCAGGAAAAAAATTTTATAGACAAATCTTTCCTACTATCAGCATGTCCACATATGGGGAAAATCACATGCAAAAAATACAGGACACTAGCAGAATTGCATTTCTTCAGTGGACCTTCATAGAAGCTTGTGCACTGGATTGGTTTAGTCATTATTGGCTTAAGTATGCTAGTGTTTACTTCTTTCAGTTGTAGCATAACAAAGAGTGGTCATGAGCACAAGCATGAATTTTTCCCTAGGCTATTTTTATGCTTCGTGCTTTGTTTTTTATTTCTTTTTTTACACGCTTACAGTGGGAGGAGTGTGATAGCTATGCTTTGAAATGTCAGAACTGTGTAGTTGCCACAAGTCTGGTGAGAGACAAGTGTAGAATCATAGAAAATTAGGGTTGGAAGGGACCTCAGGAGGTTATCTAGTCTAACCCCCTGCTCAAAGCAGGACCATCCCTAACAATATCCCAGTTGAGGCTTTGTCTAGCCAAGTCTTAAAAATCTCCAAGTGGGGAGAGTCCACAACCTCTCTGAATAATCTGCTCAGTGCTTTACTAACCTCCTAGTGAAAACATTTGTCTTCATATCTAACCAAAACTTCCCTTGCTGCAACATGAGGCCATTGCTCCTTGTTCTATCATCTGTCACCACTGAAAACAGTTTAACTCCATCCTCTTCCAAAACCCACTTCAGGTAGTTGAAGACTGCTATTAAATCCCCACTCGGTCTTCTCTAGTCCAGACTAAATAAGCCTAGTTCCTGCTATCTCTCCTCATAAATCATGTGTCCCAGCCCCTTAATCATTTTCGTTGCCCTCTGCTGGACTCGCTCCATTTTGTCTACATCCTTTTTGTAGCGGAGGGCTCAAAACTGGACACAGATGCAGTGTCACCAGTGCCGGATAGAGAGTAAGAATCACTTCATTCCATTTGCCAGCAACATTTGTACTAGTGCAGTCCAGTATGCTGTTAGCCTTCTTTGCAACAAGGGCACACTGCTGGCTCATATTCAGCTTATTGTCCACTGTAACCCCCAGGTCCTCTTCTGCAGAACTGCTGCTTAGCCAGTTGGTCCCCAGCCTGTACTAGTTGCAAGGGATTGTTCTGTCCTAAGTGCTGGACTTTGCACTTGTCCTTATTATTGAGATTTCTTTTGGTTCATGTCTCGAGTATGTCAATGTCTCTCTAAATCTTAACCCTCCCTCCAGCGTATTTACTGCTCCCTCCAGCTTGGTGTCATCTGCAAACTTGCTGATGAAGACTTTAAACAAAACAGGCCCCAGGACAAACCCCTAGGGTACTCCACTTAATACCATGTGCTAAATAGACATAGAGCTATCGATCACTACTCTTTGAGCCCAACTATCCAGCCAGTTTTTTATCCACCGTTCAGTCCATTTATCCAACCTATATTTCTGTAGCTTGCTTGTGAGACTGTTGTAGGAAACCATATACCTTGATTTCAGCAGGGCTTTTGATATTGCATCCACTGCTCTCCCCACATCCATAGAGCCAGTCATTTAATCACAGAAGGCAATCAGGTTGGTCATGCCTTGCCCTTGGTGAATCCATGCCGACTGTTCCTAATCACCTTCTTCTCCTCCAAGTACTTAGAAATAAATTCTTTGAGGACCTGCTTCATTATTTTTCCAAGGACTGAGGGCAGCCATTTTGGCCCAGTGATGGAAGCTGGGCTGCAGTTTGCTGCAGGAAGGACAGAAGTAACATCAGGCTGAGAGGCTGCTCTGGGAATATCGGGAGGTAAGGGCAGGAGTGTGGGGTGTAGGTGACCCTTTGTCCTGGGTAAGACATAAAACCACCCTGCTGGAGAAGGGTGGTGTGAGAGCCCTCAGGAAATGCCAGGCCAGTTACCTCCCCAGTGAAAGGCGGGTCAGGGCACCTTTAATAACCCCAGATCCCTGGTGGTGTTCTAATGAGCAGGGGGAGCCCAGGCTCATTAAGGAGCACCCGAGGCAGCTCAGGTTGGAGGAGGGACCTGGAGCCGTGCCCAGGTAGCAGGGTAAAACCTGGGGGCGACGATTAGCGAGGCCCTGAGTGAGAGGGGTGACTATTAGGGAGGCCCAGTGGAGGCATTGTGTCCTGGCAAGGGGCCAGGAGTGAAATAGGCCTACGGTTATAGAATCGCTTAGCGCTCAGGTGAGGGTAGCGGGAGACACCCAACAGACTGCGCTGGGGCTGACTGAGGCGAGAAGAGCTAAGCCTGAAGCTGGGTGAGGCTGGGCAAGTTGAATGTGGCCCTGAGAGGGTGGTATGGAAGAGGGTGGGTGAGAGCCAGCAGCGTAAATGGGACCCTGGTGAGAGGGGGGTGGCATGTGAGTGGTCCTCCGGGGGCTGTAGAGAAGAGCTACAACTGTGTGCCCAGTTTGCTCTGGCTATAGAAGTAACACACACAGAGTAACACCTGCGAGGCATGGGACCCATGGAGGGGAGGTCGGAGCCGGTATTAGGCCCTTGGCAGCAGGGCAAGTAATGGGCAGCCTTCCGCCTTAGTAACAACTCTCATATTTTCCATCAAGGCATGGCAGAAGAGTGAAGTGGGCAGTTACCTCTGGAGCAGGGGGGCCAGCAGAGACCTGATGAGGAGGCCATCCTGTGACAGTCCCTAATCTGTTCTTTCACCACTGTTGTCTGCTCACCTCCTTTCCAAACTGTGCTGCCAGGTGCAATAGTCTGGGAGCTGACCTTGCCTGTGAAGACTGAGGTAAAAAAGGCATTGAGTGCTTCAGCCTTTTCTGCATCATCTGTCACTAGTTTGCCTCCCCCATTCAGTAAGGGACCCACATTTTCTCTGATCTTCCTGTTGTTACATACTTGTAGAAATCCTTCTTGGTACCCTTCACGTTCCTTGCTAGCTGCAACTCTAGTTGTGCTTTGTCTTTCTTTATTTCATTCCCCTGTGCCAGAGCTTTACTTTTATACTCCACCCTACTGGTCTGTCCAAGTTTGAGCTTTTTGTAAGCTTCCTTTGTGTGTTTTAGCTCACTGAAGCGTTCCCTGTTAAGCCTAAGCCAAATTGGTCTTCTGCAGTATTTGCTAGTCTTCCAGAACATCAAGATGGTTCATCCCTGTGCCTTCAGTAAGGTCTCTTTAAAATGCAACCAGCTCTCTGGGACTTCATTTCCTCTCAGGCTGGCCTCCCAGGGGATCCTGCCCATCAGTTCCCTGAGTGTATCAGTCTGCTTTTCTGAAGTCCAGGGTCTGTACTCTGCTGCTCTCTTTCCTTCCTTTCTTCAGGATCCTAAACTCAATCATTGCGTGGTCACTACTGCTATTCACTTCTATATTCCCCACCAATTCTTCCCTGTTTGAGCAGCAGGTCAAGAAGAGCATGGCCTCTAGCTGGCCTCTCCAACACTTGCACCAGGAAGTTGTCCTCAACACTCTCCAAAAATTTCCTGGATTGCCTGAGCACTGCTGTATTGCGCTCCCAGCAAGTGTCAGGGTGACTTAAAGATCCCCATAAGAACCAGGGCCTCTGATCAAGAAACTACTGCTAGCAGTTTGAAGAAAGCCTCATCCTCTTGATCTGGTGGTATGTGGCAGACACCCACCATGATGTAACCTTTGCTCTCCCCTCTAACCCTAACCCAGAGACTTTCAACAGTCCTATCTCCAGTTTCATACTGGAGCTCTGAACAATCATTTAGCTCTTTTATGTAAAGTACAACTCTTCTTCCTCTTCTCCCCTGCCTGTCCTTTCTGAAGAGTTCATACCCATCCATGACAGGACTTCAGTCATGTGAGCTATCCCACCAAGTCTAACATTGACTGTGTCCCCAAATCTGAACAGTTTTATTACACTGTGGTTACAGCAATTTTAAGCACCTGAGAGTCTGGTGTATGCCTCTTCTTCTCTAACCTCCTCCATTAATATCCCTCCAAGCATGACACAAGGCACAGGCAGCCTTTGTGTGTGGCACGCAGCAGATTGGAGAGGGGACAGGCAGCACAGTGTCAGAGAGAGCAGAAAAGAGTAGCAGATTGTGCAGGAGAAGGAAATCGGAGTGGCACTCAGGGAGAGTGCGGGGCTAATATGTGGCATGCTAGCTAAAAAGGTTGCTTCCACTGCACTGTCACAAGAGTTTCCCCCCCACTACCTAACACCATTTCCAGCTCATAATCTGCTTGATATCTTTCTGTTAAGCCATTCTAGAAGCCAGTTAGTATATTAAATGTAGTCCCTTGCTGTCTGGCACCCAGTATGGTTATTTACACAGTGCAGTCAGCAGCGTGGGTTGCTTGGGTGGTTACATGCTTCCTTAATCCTGTAGCTCAAGCTGTATTTTGAACTAGGCCATGTACCTCAACTGTGTTCTACTTGCCTTTGCTTCAGTGAGGCCTCCTTAGACATGCTTCTGGGCTGGTAGTTGGCCATGCCTCTGTCTTGCAGGGTCACCCCAGCTACCGACACATTGGGGCAAGAGGGGCCCCTACAGAACCCAGCATTTAAATAGTGTGATGGATTATGTTTCATTGTAATAGTTTTGTGTTGTCTGTGTTCATACTGTTATAACGTTCCATGATTTGGTTTACCTCATTAGTCTGTACACGGAGCAGTGGTTCGCAAATTTTATGGAGCCAAAGTACTCCTTCACCACTTCTGAAATGCAGGGGTTCCCTGGTTGAGAAGCACTGTTGGTGCTGCCTCAACTTACCTCAGTGCTTTACAACTAGGTGTTACTGCCTGCAGATGAAATTGCCCTGTGCCTGCTGTACAGCCAGCCCAGGAAGGGCCATGGCACATGTCCATGCTACTGCTGCATTAGGGCTTTGATCAGCCTAAATAGGCAGAGGCTTCCTCATTGTAGCCCTTACTAGGCAGATAATCTCTAGCTGGTTGGTCTTTGCGCCAATAAATGCCTTTATTGAAGCAAAGCTGTCAGCTTGCTGCTTGAGAAGTCAGGTTGTGCTGGATCTTCCCAGCAAGAGATAAAGTCTCTCTCAGTCGCAGAACTAGATGCTAGTTTCTTAAGGATCACAAAGCACCAGAGAAGGTGCAAGACCAAAAGGCCATGGTCATAGAGTGGAAAGTGGCTTGGGTTCCCCCTGTGCTCTAGAATTTGAGGGACACTCGGAGACCAGACAAAGCTGTGGTGGTCTGGAGCAGACACCCCTGGAGGGCACTCCATGATGCATGGAAGAGGAAAATGCAGGTTAATAGGTGCCGCAGCCCCTAATCCTCAGGATTCAACATGTCAGTCTACTTCCACGTCACCCCCTCCTTGTATTCCACACTGCCTGTTTATTGGAGCCTTGCCACCTGTCCTTAGTCGGCCCCACCATAATCCCCCGTCCCTCCTCTGCCACTTATCCCAGTATTCATAACACCAAGTTATGGGGAAGCATGATCACACTTGAAGATAGGCTGCAGATACAGGTGGACCTAGACAGGCTAGCAAGTTAGTCGGGTCAGAACCAGATGAGGTTTAACATTGCGAAATATTAAGTGCTCCACCTGGGAATGAACAATCCCCTACACACCTACAGGCTTGGCAGTGTCAATGTGACCAGCACTACAAATGAAAGAGACCTGGGGGTAATAATTGACCACAGTATGAACATGAGCTGGCAGTGCGACACTGTAGCCAGCAGGGCAAATAATACTCTGGCATGCATCAATCGATGCATCTCCAGCAAAACCAAGGAAGTGATTCTTCTGTTATACTTGGCATTGGTGAGACCGTAGATGGAGTACTGTGTCCAGTTCTGGGTGCTGCACTTCAACAAGGATGTGGGAAACCTTGAGAGAGTCCAGAGAAAGGCCACCTGTATAATCAGAGACTTGCACGGCATGCCATACGAGGCTGAGGGACCTGGGACTCTTCAGCGTGAAGAAGAGAAGGCTGAGAGGGGACTTGGTAGTAGCTCACCGCTACATCAGGGGCATACATCAAGGGCTCGATGAGCAACTGTTCACCAGGGCATCCTTGGGGAAAAACAGGAGCAATGGTCACAAACTCCTGGAAGACCATTTCAGGCTCAACATTAGGAAAAACTTCTTCACAGGTTGGGTGTCCACTGTGGAATAAGCTCCCTCCAGAGGTGGTGCAATCGCCTACCCTGGAAATCTTCAAGAGGAGACTGGACGGTCACCTTGCTGGGGTCACTTGTCCCCAGTTGTCTTTCCTGCTCAGTGCAGGGGGGCTGGACCTGATGATCTTCCGAGGTCCACTGCAGCCTAAATTCAATTAATCTACTCCAAACCCTTTCCCTCCAGTTTTCTCACCCTTCGCTTCTTACCTCCCAGCCAGTGTTTATATGTGTAATTAATTTTCTTTTATTAATAGTTGGAGTACTTTCCAGATCTTCTGTGCTTGGATTACATTTCCCCTCTCCCCCAACAGAGTCAGATAGCTAAATATTTTCCAACCCCTCCTTCACCATCTGAAGCCAAAGTACATTTCAGCTTATGCTTACTTGTGTATAAGTTAGCTCCATGCCACATGGCTGCTGTGGAAACTGGAAGGCTAGCAGCTCTTGTCTACTTGGCTCGCAAGCATTTGGCTTGTGTTTGTGCTGAGAAGCAGCTCCATTAAATACTGTTTTCCATTTTGCCTTTCCAAAGGGATGTGGGGGAACATGCACTACATGAGGCAATGGTCAAAGTGCTGAAACTTATTTTGGGCATGAAGTTATGATTTGCTCCCAAAATCTTAATAAAAAGAAAAATGCTAGGACTGTCTGTCAACTATTTATACAAAAAAAAAAAAAGCAAGCAAACAGGAAAGCCAACCTGTGATAGTGCTCAGTGGGTGTCTGGATGGCTGTACCACAGGAACCTTGGGGTTTTTTGTTTGTTTGTTTTTGTGAATTGGTAAGTCACAAAGGCTCAACCTCATGTAACCTTAATTATCTACTATATAGCCCAGCCTTAACCCCCTTCACATCCTGATTTAAGAACTGGTTGGATGTGATTGTTTTAAATTCCATGCCATTTATAAAGAGCGTCTCCTCTTTTTATCTGTTCAGGCCAATTAATTTTAGTAGCCAAATACCAGGGGTGCTCAACCTGTAGCCCACAGGCTAGATCTGGTCCCTGGCACAGGATTATTGAGCCTATAGGCCTCACCACAGGCTTGTGGGGAGCTCCACAGGCCATACCCCTGTGCATGGAGGGCAGCACGGGGCATGATCCCAGTGGAGGGGCCTGGTGGTGGTGGTATGCACAGCTCTGGAGCCCTGATTCCAGCATGGAGGGCTAGGGTGGATGTAGCACAGGATCCTGATCCCAGCACGTGGGGCCAAGTGGAGGGAGTATTGGGCCTTGGAGCCTTGATCCTGGTCTATGGGAGTGGGCAGAAATGGCTTGGGACTATGATCCCAGCACATAGGGCCAGGCAGAGGTGGCATGGGGCTCTAATCCCAGTGTGTGGGGGTGGCGCAGGGCACTGGGTCCAGAACCTGCCATGCAGGATCTAATCCAGCCTGCCATCTGGCCCCATCCTATTCATCTTGCTCGTGGGGCCAAAACATTGAGTACCTGGCATACTGGCATACATCATAAGGTGTGGGAATTGCTGGCTGGCTTCTCTTCGCTATAGAGACAGGGAAAACTGAAAGGGAGAGTCCCTTCAGTATGTTGGGCCTAAGGGAGCAGCTAGAGAGAACAGATTGACTTTTATTAGTAGATGTTTAGGATTGTGAATCCAGAAAAGATGACAAAGCCCGTAGGGAAATACAGATTGCCCTAGCGAGGGACTAACAATAGAGGGATGGGGGTGAGGAGGGGAATGCAACTAGGTTACAGGAGATACAATGTTAGCCAACTAAGACTGGGGGTGGGGGAAGGGGCGGGAGGGGGTTCGAGAGGCTGAGAGAGAAAGAAGATAGATATACACAAACCTGTTACAATGGTCTGCAATGGTGGAAGAAGTGGTTCAAAGAAAAGTGTCTCAGATCAGATAGAGTCTCATCGCGGGGGTCCTCTTTGGGTGGAGCGGGGTTGTCCGTTGCTGAAGAATCTCTCAAAGTGAAGGTCCATCTGGTGCAGAGGGGGGTGGTTCAGGTGGTCCCCTCTGGGTCTAGTCTGGCAGCGGTTTGTCTGCTGGGGTCGGAGTACTGGTGGTGACCTGTGAT